ATTACAGTTAAAGGTGGGCTTTTCGGCGCCTCCCGCTTTTTTTACGCTGATTTGGGTGACTTGTGTAATTCGTGGAGAACCGAAGAGTTTTCTCTTTGGGGGGGGGACAACTTCTCTCTTCAAAAATTGATCTGAGTAAATTATAAAGAACAGCCAGTTAATTGAAGGATTATAGCACAGGCCTTTGACAGATGGTATATTACGCTGTTTTTTTTCTGCTTCCAATAGTTCTCTCTTTTTTCACCATACCTGTGTTTGCATCACTGATAAATACACAAACAACAATGAATACTTACAGGTTGTGTACCCGAATCTCCCGCTGGTCCAAACAAAGTAGGAACAGCATCGTCCTTCAGTGCCCTACGCTGTACATATCCGGCATGAATCGCTGAAAGGTTTTGGGAAGCTTTGTTTCGACACAGGCGCGGCTACTGGGTATCCCCATGTCAGAGTACCCAGGAAGTAAATGAGAAATCTCCAACGAGGCGTTTTGGGGCAGCATAGAATGTGTTAGAGTTTTACTCGCTACAGGGTGTACTTTCAGGGTTTTTGACTCGGCAGACCGTTTACATGCATAAAAACCTTCATAACACACAAGGGGGCGGGTAATAACCAGAAAAGCATGACATGGGACCTTTAATATGTAATGGAAAAGAGATTGCTTTTAACGCTCAGATCCAGGTCGTGACCTGAATCTGCACACTCCAAACAGAGCATCAACTACAGAGGCATACAAGACTTTAGAATCAATTACACTAGACTTTCAGAAGCAATTATCTTTGCTTTCATATTGGTAAAACACACTTCATTGTAATGCAGTAGTACAGAAACAAACATGTACTCATCTTGGCATGAGTACAAACATGATACTCTGCAAGTTAGTTGGTTCAGAAATTACATTTGAAAAAAAGCAAAGTTTATGTAGGATGAATGCAATTTGTAGAAAATTGGCATAAATGATGCATAATATATTATATTTGTAGTTGACCCACAGGCATAAGCTGTGTACTCAGGTCTAATTGTGTAATTGTGTACTCAGGTCTAATTGTGTAATTAGCCTGGTCTAATTGGACTATGCTTAAGAAGGACTCTGACTTTTTTATCAATGCTTTTTTCAGGTTTCCAGTCACAAAGCGGCCTCGGTTCCAGCCTCTCGATGCCCACCGCTGTCCACCTTGGAGGCTGGCAGGAGGAGGAAGAGGAGAACGAAGATGATCAGGAGATAAACAGTGGATCTACTCCAAAACAGGGCACTGGGAGTAGTTGTTGAGTGCCTTAGGTCACAAGGTATACGTTCTCTTTAAACTCTGTAATATGACTCAAGTCTACGATCTATGCTTTGTGGTTCTTTACCCTGTGTGTTAGTCGAAACCTTTACAATGGCCTTTTATCCTAGAAGGGATACATTGCCGTGATCATTTCTCCTCTTTATTGTTTTTATAGTGTTTACAGTTTTACTTTCTTCTATGAACATTGTGGCCTTAGATGATCTTCATGGAGAGTTTAGCATGGACCTTTAAAACATCAATCAGCGTTTGTTATGAGAGGAGATCATTGAATAACCACTGTCTCTGCACCTCCACGCCTCATCCTGTCACATCAGGCAGACTATGGCATCAGGGAAACCATATGTCTTCCGTCCGGTCCGATCCATCTCGATTCTTGTTGTAAACTTGTACAGACAAACTATGTAAAATGACAGAGAGACGATATGATGTGTTCAAAGGATCACTGTGTGAAAAAAAAAAGAAGCGCAAAATGCTCATCGCAAACTTCTGACGAGCCTCAAAGTATTTGTGCATCACAAAGATTAACAGCGCCAGTCTATTTGAATTCTCTCGGAGTGATCTTCTGTGTTAGCTAGACTGCAAACTGTATCATAGCTGCCTGAACAATATCGATCACCTGTAAGAGAATTCAATATTTCCTGTTGTGCTGTTTGACCCTGGTGATTTGTAAATACACATTGTTGCTGACTTATCCTTTTTAAAAAGACCACATCTTCACTACCCGAGCTAATCCTCAAAGATACCAAGTATTGATTTGATAAAGATAAACACATGTGCTTCTGACAAACACACTTTGGTGCTGCTGGCTGTGTTTAACGGTCCGTAATACAGATTATACACAGTATTAATATTTCCACAGCTGCTGTTTCTGGACGCTGCACATTAAAAACAGTCACAGGTCTAAAAGACACCTGGCATCAAAATCCTAATGCAGATATGAGATGTCTATTTGAGCTGGGCACAAAGCCAGCTTTAAGCCTTACCACCCATGTTAAAAAATAAAGTTTTCAGTATTACCTCAGTGGTGGTGAAGAAAAGATTATACCTCTGCAGTGAAATGATTCTTGTGTAAATATATATACAGTACATATTGGGTGCTTTGCAGTGTGCATCTAATAACTGCATTTTGATTGTGATGGTGGGGCATACATGGAATCATTTTCTCTTCTTATATCTGGCCCAGCAGAAGTCATTGAAATGGATGGCACCAGAAATTGAACAAAACAGGGTGGTATTGCTTTAACCAATCTGTGTTGTGCACATTTTTATTTGCGTCACAAAAAAATTGAACTTCATCAAAAGGGCTGATTTTTAGATTATGCGCTGTTGCTTCTGCAGCTTTAGGTCTGAAGATTTTAGGACAACAGCTCTCTCAGTGTTAGTTTTTATTCTTTCAAAATAAGAGCATGAGGAGGAAAAGAACTTTCCACAGTCTGCCATCGTCTGTTAGATTTAGCTTTATTTATGACCTGTTACCCTCCCGGATATTTAATTCATGTTTGTGTATTATTTATTTCTAAAAGGATTATTTAGATTTTTTTCTGTGGAATCAATTTCTTTCACTTAACCTTTTTAATCAAATAAATGGCATGTTCCCACCAAAAAAGTAGTTAAAAAAAATCATTTGATGTCGAAATTCCACAAAAAAGTTTGTATTAATGCAAATATAACATGGCCAGCCGCATGATTTTGAATGTGATTTAAACCTAAAATAAACTGGGACTAAATCTGCCTGTTGATGCAGTGCCCGAAAAGATATTTTTACCCGTTTTTAATTGCATTTTGTTTTATAGTTCAGAGTAACATAGATGTCATCCTGCACAACTGCAAGAGAGGGGTCAATGTGTCTTTGCCCTCTCTCGTATTTAGAAACTATAACACTTTCTCTGTGAGCGTGTCTGTGGAAGGAATGCGTTTTGGACACCTTCGTAATTATGCTAACATGAATTTTGCACTGACAGAAAATAAACATTTGTTTTTAAATGTGTGCGTGTATATATATACAGTACTTGTATCAGTTACCGTTTGGAAAGGACAGGTCTCAAAAGGGGACGCTGAGTCAGTCTCCATCCGGAACGATCTCTTCTCGTTGTTTGTACATAAACAACGCATCACTGCTTGTTGTGTTGTCGCAGTCCACAGCAAAACCACCTGGAAACACTGTGGCTTATCACATGAGGTCGTTCTTACCTCTGGTCAGTAGACGTCCGCTCTGTAGGGGATGATGTGTGTCTCTGTCACGTTGTTAAATATACTCACATGGGTCATTTTCCATCGTGCAGTGCGTTGATGTTGTAGAGACACTGGAGCTCGGCTTCGTGCACAGATTCCGTTTGACGGTCTCAACATTTACACCACCCTGTTATGTGTGTCATTTTGTTTTAAGCAGTGCCTTAGTATTAAGGATTAGTATTTGCTCTTCATAGAAGCCATTACATGCAACCTATTGGATTTACTTTCGCAGATTTAGCCGCACATACTGTTTTGTTGGCTCTTTTTGGCAAGTCATTGTGTATATAGCATCAAGTATGTTGTGATGTCGTGGATGTGGCTTGTGAGATGAGTTGTAAACTGATCTTGAGATCTTATGTCAGTCTGTTATATCTGACAGCACACTTCTTCTTATCATGGTGTCTGAACTTGCACTGTCCTCAATATCCTAAAGAAGCAGGAAGTGTAACTGTTGTCACCACGGCCCACCTCCTCATCTTACCCTGGGTTATCCACTAAAACACCAGTCAAACAACCACAGTGACTGGAACAAGGTGCTAAGTTTTCATCCTGAAAGTTTGAATATGTTTTAAGACTTGGTTAAGGTTTTTTGTTGTTGTTGTGTTACTTAGGTTTTTTTTTTTCCTGTAAATTAAGATACAAAAGCTGAAAAATAAAACATGCCAAAAGAACTTGTCTTCGGCACAGCTTTCCAATACATGTGCTGTTTCCCCCCCCCGCGTGAGTAGAGAGGCAAATGAATCTAATTTTTGGTATTTCATAATTTCATGTGTGGTGGATTATGCCATGTTTATTTGAAATAAAAAGTATATTTAAATGATCATGTCAATGTGGGAGCTTTTCTCTTTACGTCTTGGACATTTCTGACACCAATATATTAGTCTGTCTAAATGAATAAGTAGAGCCTAATAAATCTTAGATGTCCTTATAATATGTGAGACTGTGCAGCGGTAGATATAGAAATCCAACTCCGCAAAGTGACCCAAAAAAACTGAAGGATACTTAAAGCTTTGTGAAAGATTTGATTTGAATTTGGTTGACTCTTAGAGGTGGTATCACACTGTGGTAGAAAGCAATGCAAAGAGCTTTAAAGGTGGACAAAATAAAAATACAGACAAAAAGATTCAAACACTGAAAAACAAAAATGTACCTAATGACGAACATCTCAAGCAGAGATAGATTAACATATTTCATATTGTACATGTGTCTGATTTCTCTGTCTTATAAGTCATCAGCAGGTTTTGTTTTCATCTTTTGATCTCTTGCTCCACTCTGCTTTTACTCAAGATGCATATTATATTACGGGCTCAAAACTATTAAAGGAAAACGTATTTACATGTTTTTGTGTCTCCTTTGCTTTCTTCCCCTTCCTCCGTCCTTCTGTGTCTCATTACCGCAAATCTGCTACTCTCACTCTTGGCCTGATTGAAATTATTTAGTCCAATCCACGTTGAGTGTGATTTTTAAAAATCTTTGTAAATTTGTTACATGTTTTGTGGGTTAGAATGATTTATGTTTGAAGTTGATTTGTTCTGCAGTGAAAGCTCATTGCCCCCTGTACCCCTGATGTATTACTGGTACTCTGTCAATACTGTAAATAAACATTGTAAATAAACACCACACACCTCTATTTGAGATGCACTATTTTGTCTCTGTATCTATTCCTTTTTCTTGCATCCAGTTGGTTTGAATCATTTTTTTCCAATGTCCCCATTGACCATTTTAGGGACATGAAAGCCATCTGCTATTCATTCTTGGCTTCACTCTGCCCTTGCTGCGACATTTGACCCACTTGTTGCTTGCCATGTAAATGTTGTTTTGAGGATGTGTTTTGGCTGTGAACATGATACACTGTGACCTTTTTTCTCGATATGGCTAAGAGGTCAAGCGGAAGGCCATGTAGGTCAAATAGTGGCACCTAACGCTGGAAGCATTCTGTGAACATTGTCTCATCACAAACACATTTTTTATGTGGGATTTTATGTAACTCTTTAGTTGCTGAACAGCAAAGCCAAGTTATATACAGTATGTGTATGTATGCTGCCCTCTGCTGTATTGTAATCCAAGTGCCATCAGAGACTGAATACTGTCCAAGAGTGATTAAAAGAAAAAACATTGTTTGATGCTATTTGAGGAAAAGTTCACCTCAAAATGAACAAATGTATATACATTACTTTATGTATACCTTGAATTCTTCTTAAACTTTTCAGCTCTGATTGTTTTTTTTCCTTTGGTGGCAAACAACCAGATTTTGTTCACATATTATTTTCTGACAGTTTAAGCAACAAAGATATTTTTTGTTAAGTTACTTCAGCTTTAACACACAAACTATATCAACATGTGATTTTTTTCAGTTACATTTACCTAGTCGTATTCGAAAACTACTTCTCAAGCACATGCATTTGTCCTTAAAACCTTACTGTTCAAAATGGTCTACATAAAATTGTGAATTCACTGTGGTGGCCATGCGTGAGTTTTCTTCACAAATCAAGGGGGTACCATTTTTCTTTGTGTGATTGAGCATCAATAGCTGATCAAGAGTCAAAGCAAGAGCAAAAACAGAGAAGAAGAACAACTTGGGGTAAGTTGACATTTTAATTAACTTCAACATATTTTCCATATACTGTATATTACACTTTTGTGATCTTCTAATGTTTGAATGAATGTGAGACAGACGCAGATATATAGAATATAATATATAGATTTTTTTTTTTTTTAACAGTAGACTTTCAGGAGCATGGAAACCACACACAGAAGCCAGAACAGAATGAACCACAGGCAAGCAGCAACAGTGGATTACTGTCTGGTAGAGTTTCGGCGAGTTTAAATCAGGTCCAGGCGACCTGCTGCTGTCAGTCACTGGCACTGGGGGAAAGCCCACACGGGAAGACCAAGAAAATACCGTAGAGGCCAGAGAATAGGGAAGAAAGGGGTAAGGCTGGCTATACCGCTTGTTTCTACACACTATAAACATTAAATAGAACCCTGTCTATAAATATATGATAAAGTATGATATAATTAAATGTCATGTAATAATTGCTATATAATACTGAATGGTGGTCATGGCAGATACATGTAACGCTTTTGTTAAATATGAGGTCATACCTTATTTATGGAGCTGACCAGCTGGATGAAGCAGCTGTCATCACAGAGATGATGTTTGTGGCGGCGGAGTACAATGTGTTACACAGGGCAAGTTTAGTCACTTTACATTTGAACAAAGTGTTGCAGTAATGCCAAGCTTCACTTAGAAACTTAAGAATTTACAACAGATAATCTACTACTGCTGAAAGCTTGTATGGCCATAGTGAAAGAAGAGAACACGACAACAAATTAATCTTAAAAGAAGACACTGACATTTTAGGATGTTTTAGTTTGTTACATATCCAGTCATGCTAGCAAACTGATACCAATTATATTTCTATTTGTTTAGTGAATGAGAATAGTTATCATAATATAGCTGAACATTTGAAAACAAGGGAAACTATAAAAGTAGTATATAGGCAACTCCAAGAGTCACCTCTGTTTTGCTCGAGAACTCCAATGCTGAAGTTCACATTCAGCAACTTTTAATTACATTTAGATTTAATTTAGCTTATCCTCAAGCTCAGCATGTACCACACTCTGTGGTAAGATGATCCAATCTCAGAAAATCAGATACAGAGGTGGCAAGAGGATGATGTGCAGGTCACACATTTGCACTTACAATAAAGCACGAGAGCATTTGCATTTCTTATATAATGTATTATTAATTATATATAATGTTTATACAATAATTATTGATTTTTTTTCTATTACAATTGTTTATTATTATTATTATTATTAATAGTAGTAGTCATTTTAGCATGTTCAAATTAATATGTTATAATCTGATTCTATTTTATGTTGGTAATATTAATCTGCCAAGTTAGCCTTTACTGAAGTTATGTGAAATAAATGGATTTAATACAAGCACAAGCACCTTACATTGGTTTTTAAGTAGCCTACAGTAGGCCTACTTGAAATTACATTTACTGAGTAACCTTCCTCCCCGGAAGCACAGTATCATATTTTGTTGTTGGTAAAATCTTACGTTGTAGTAATTTGAAGAAAGTCCAGCACACATCTCTGACTTACTGACCAATTAATTGTAATTCCCCTTACACTCACACAATTGTTTAATACTCAACATAATTATACAAAATAATCAGCTAACACAGAGACAATGGTCTTCTTTAGTATTCACAATGCACAAGAGCAGACAACAAACTAGTACAATTAATAGTTTTTAAATGAGCAGCCAACAATCAAAATTATGAAGTTACTGTTTAAAGACAACAGGCAAAAAGATCGTTTTTTCATGTACTTGTTATTTTTGGTCTATTTTGCTTCCATGTTTTCTTTCACTCTAATGGAAATAAAACTTCCAAGAAACACATATAAATGGTGTTCGTTTTACTACCATGTCTGAATTCATCTATAGATACATAGCTAATCTGCATTTAAACATAACATTTCAGGGGAAAATACTGACTTGATGTAAATAACTATGGGGAAGTTGTGAGGTGGTGCAAATTAGCGCATTTTAATTAGGCCTAGTTAACGCCTAATTTGCATATCACTTTTACTGTATTCACTTTAAGTCTCCCCCCTTAAACCTTCTCTTGCGTTTCGGGTCAAAAGTGACCGAATGACTTTTATTTTAATCATAAATATTGTGTTTTTCATCCAATTGCCTCAATACCTTATGTTATGCTCCACACTAGGCCTCTGAACATAATACACTTGATGATCACCACCTGCATTGAATTTTGAGTGATTTATTCAACAATGAAACACCCTTGATGTTTTCGGTCAGATTTGACCGCCATAGAAAATGAATGGGTATGAGTTTATTATGTTCATCACACGCACACGCACACACGCACACACACACACACACACACACACACACACACACACACACACACACACACACACACACACACGTTATAGGAACCTCTCCGTTTCTCGCGCTGTATGAGACAATGTATCATACCTTCTCACAGATGCAGCTCTGTGCCCCTCGAGAAACACAAACCTCTCACTTTCTCGTGCTAAATGCGCCTCCCTTACTGACTCTCAAGCAGTTATATTTGTGCCTTGCTCACATTTGACTCATTGACACCGATTAGGCTATTTTCTGTACAAGGGGCTCTGGACACATTTTTGAACTAGATGTAGAGGAGATTGAACCAGATGAAGAGGAGATAGAGGAAGATGTCTCAGAAATGGAAGACAATAGCGATCCAGACTATGAGCCTACAACAGACCAGGAAGAGGCACCTGAGGGAGAGGCCGCTGAGATAGAAGCCCCTGAGGGAGAGGAGCCTGAGGGACATTCCACCATTTTGCATTGCCAACCATGTGCGTGAACACACACACACACACACACACACACACACACACACACACACACACACACACACACACACACACACACACACACACACACACACACACAGAGAGCTTCATTCTGCTCTTTTAAATTGGATTGACACACACACAATAAAAAAGGGGGAAAAAGGGCACTTTCTCTTGAGGAAGAAAAAGGGCAGGGGCTCAAGACCACTTTGTGTGTGTGTGTGTGTGTGTGTGTGTGGGTGTGTCTGTGTGTTAATGAGCCTATAAAAGAGTGGATGTAATGTGTGAATCTCAGAAATGTACTTAAGTAAGTCTACATTTAGCCTACTTTAGTAATGCAATTAGTTCCTTTCTACCGGTTTTGCAAGTCTCCACTGTGCAGGTGTAAACTATTAGTAATATCCAGTGTTATGATAGTGTGCAGCCCAGCAGAGGCCAGCCTGCTCTACTTCCAGACTTCACCAACAGCAGCCTATCTCCTATCTCCTCAGTAAATGACAAGTCTATTTTGGAAAGGAGGCTGCGCCAATGTAGGCACGTCAGCTATTTGGCATCATGAGGTACCAGAGAAGAAAGAAAAAATAAGTTTAGTCAACCGCCCACCGCAGCAGACAGGGGGGATGTTCCCACCATACTGGATTTACAACCATTTCAAGGATATTTGAGCACAAAGAAGAAATTGTTTTTTAATTGGGACTTTTCAAAAACACTGATTCTGGAGTTGGCTTTGATATGGAAATCTTGACGGAAAACTGAAGTTTTACTCCACATGATTCAACGCCCGTTTTACCTGAGTGGCTGAAGACTCAAGGTGAAAAATTGATGTTAGGATAATAAAATGATGTGTACAAAAATAACACGATGCATTAAGAATTATACAGAAGAATTGGCCGAAGTTATAGCAGTTTTTTCATTTATTTCACCTTCTTATTTGTACGTTATACTTTCACACATGTAAGGGTTAATTTCTAATTTGAGTTACTGTTAGGTATCCTAGCTTTAGCTTCCAGTTTCAGGTAATGTTAGCTACTTCATTTAACTGCGTGTGTGTTTCATTTGTCGTAGTTTATTAAGAAACCGTCAATTAAAGCATGGGAATACCTTGAAATGTTTTTAAAATAACGTTTTAGTTCGTTGTGAGAAATGTAGAATGTTTTTTAAGTGGTAGCTTTATCAAGCAGCTGATATCCCTTTCGCTTCTACAAATGGCAATGGACAGAGACGGGGTCTGACAGCTGAGGTTATTTTTGGGAGAGGCAGTTCAAGCGACAGAGGTGACAAAGCTGGCAAATGTCACTCTTTGAAAGGCACATATCTGCTCTATTTGACCTTGTTACAGAGGAATGTATTTGTTGTTGTGCCGGTAAACTACATTCCTATTGTATAGGCTGCAAGCTAAGTCTTAGTATTAAATAATGTCTGCAGGGCCAGGAAAGGGTTGTTCTGACTGACACTTACTGTAACTGCCAGCCATACATATGCCTATTTGGACTGTGGAGTTATTTTCATAGCATAACATATTTATAGAGGAGCTACACTTAACACACATCTCACAATGGCTTTGGGTGTAATTCCACAGGGTTTATTTGTAATTTAGTGTGTGGAAAGAAAGTAATACAAAATAACTGACACAACAATGTGCATACAAAATATATGGTCTAGTTTGTTGCAGTTGTAAATAAATATTTTTGGTTTTCCCTTGATATTGATCAATTCCAATCAGAAACTATGATTGTATCCATTATTCACACGCAAATTAGTTATTTGAAAAGGAATTTGTTGTTGACAAAACTATATCAAACTACTAACTGCTTCTTTTTCCAGATAGAAAATGTATTACAAGGATAACAGTTACACTGAATGTGCATTAGTAGGACATAAAGGGCAATACCATGATGGACATAAATATGTGCAATATAAATATGCAGTACTCTACGCTACCTACAATTCAGATCTGATACTGTACATATTTACATTCTCCACTTCGACTTATATTTGCACTTTTAGTTTCCCCTCTTTATATTTTAACTCCTGCAGGAATTTCCCTCAGTATATTTAGTGATATCCTATCCTATCTTATTTTATATTGTCTTTTGTTCAACGTTTCATTTTATTTCTCGTAAGCCACTGTATTGTATACAACTGTATTGTAATGTTCAGCTTTTATTTGATTACAGAAACCAACAATGGATCAGAACTTGTTTGGGGGAGTCCCCAGGTTTCTCACCCGCCCAAAGGCATGCTCAGTGTGTGTAGGCAAAGACGCCACACTTAGCTGCACTATCGTGGGCAGCCCGACCCCGCTGATAAGCTGGGAGAAGGACAAGCTGAAGCTCACATCTGGGGGACGCTTCAAAACCGTGGAGGATGGAAATCTGTACCGCCTGACCATCTATGACTTAACACTGGAGGACAATGGCCAATTCATGTGCCGGGCCAAAAACACAGTTGGGGAGGCTTATGCTGCTGTTACCCTCAAAGTGGCCCTGCAAACAGAGATGGCTCAAAGGGCCCCTGTTTTCATGGTTAAGCCTACCTCTACACGTGTATGTTTGGGAGGCGATGTGGTTTTCCAATGCCGGGTTGCAGCCCACCCTGATCCCAACTTTGATTGGGAGAAAGATGGGCGCTACTTGGGCGAGTCAAATCGTATCAAGATTGTTTCCGACACCGACAGCAGCACCCTGAAGATCCAAAGTGTGCGTAACCTGGACAGCGGCACCTACACCTGCAGGGCCCAGAACACCGTGGGTCGTTCACACTCTGCAGCAGCTCTCGTTGTAGATGCCCAGGATTCCCTCCATCTGTCCGCAGACAAGAACACCTCCTCTCTCCTCTCTCACCTACAAAAGCGCAAGGAGGACATGCAGAAGGACATCTCTATCTATCGCACTGAAGAAAGCAGATCCTCTGGTTCCTCCTCCACCAAGACCAGCATCACAGATAGTTTGAGTTCTCTGAGTCAGGAACATGATCTGAGGGCATCTGCGCTGGCAAAGCTGCCCAAAGGTGTGTTCACCCGTACCTGCACGGTGACTGAAGGCAAGCATGCCAAACTCAGCTGCTTTGTGACGGGTCATCCTAAACCCCACATCATCTGGAGGAAGGATGGATCAAACATCAGCGAGGGCCGCAGGCATGTCATTTATGAGGACCAAGCTGAGAACTTCATCCTCAAGATCCTGTACTGCAAGCAGACCGATAATGGCCTCTACACCTGCAATGCCACCAATATGGCTGGCCAGACCTACAGTGCTGTGTTGGTGACTGTCAAAGGTAAGATGGACGTGTTTGCTTAATACAATACAGCCATACATGTTTTACACATATTAGAGAAGTAGACTATTGCAGTTATGTTTATGAATCACATGCATATCTGTCAGCTAAATGCACCATACTCCACACCAGGGTTACAGTAAATGCCTGTCATGATTTCATTGTTTTATTGATATTAACAAATCCCATGAAAACAAACATTATATTAGTCTATCTCCTAATCATTTCCAACATCTATACCATAACTGCAGGACTCATTCATCTAAAAAAAAAAGAGATAATAAATGTATGCTATATATAGTACAGCTGCACTCAAAAAGTCACCATCATTGAGTAGTCAATTGACAAAAAGGATAATTTGTTGATCATAAATGAATGCACAAATTGCAGAAAATTACGTTTTCAGCTTCTTAAAAATGAAGATTTCCTGCTTTTATCTGTTTTGGACTGACAAAACAACACATTTAAAGACATCACCTTGGATTTTGAGAAACTAAAATAGACATGTTGTGAAAGAACCAAAAATGTATTGACATATTAGGGCAACATTTTCAGATGAATCCAGATGAAATGCTGAAAAAAGCTGAAGCCCTACAAAGTCATTTCTTAAAACAGCTTGGTACTGTACATTACTTACACAGGAGTGCAAATACATTTGTAGGGGACTATTTTAAGCTTAACATTAATACACATTTGGTGGTAGTATTCATCACAGCAGGATGGTGTATGTGGGATTTACTCAAAATAAACTAGACTGCCTGTTTGTCTGCCACTGCAGCAAGTGGCTCATTTGTGTGTTTGTATTAGCAATTCAAATGGCAGTACATGTCACTCAGGGATAAGCTATATGTTGAAAGGAAAAATCAATGTTGGTATCTGCACTACTCTAAGTGTCCGAATCATTTCCCCAAAGCATCATTTACCCCTGAAAATGTGTGTATGCTTTTTACAACAAGGTTGAAATCTGGCCCAGCCTCTTTGGGAGGGTGTTGTGTTGCATCTATTTTCTGCTGGTGATGAGTAGTTCACAGATGCTAAGATGTTCACTCACTCACTGGAGCACTTTAGCACCAATGCTGCTGAGACTCCCCTTGGGAAAAAATTGGCCCAATGGATGAAACTGTAGGATTATATATTTCTGTCGGCATGATCGTTAATGAGGGCTGCCGCACTTATTTACCTGTGTATTGCTGGTGCAGAGGACTTCTGATGTTTGCAGGTTGTTAGTTTATAGGATTTAAAGGGGGACATTTTGCAGTAGGGGTTATACAGTACGTTTTAAGCTCTTCCATGTTGCATCACCATTACAAAAAACACTCCTTTAAGAAAAAAGAAAAGGGGAAAACATTTCATTTTCTGTAACCTTTGATTTAATAACCACAATTATTACACAACACTTAAAAAATAAGAGGTCCTGGCAGAAATCCAGTCAGTTTTGGAAAGATAACTTCAAAAAAAGTATTTATTTGGGACACTAAGACAGAAGTACACAACTGTTAAGGGTTGTCAATGTTAAATATATAGTGTGCGTTGACAAGCCTGTCAAAAATGATTAGCTAAGGGGTCAACGAGCCAAACTATTACTCACAACACTGTGATTTCCTCAACCTAATCTTTTTTTAGTAAAAATATTCATAGCTCATCTGTCCTTCGGCAGGAACGGAACAGGAAATATTGAAATTAATAACGTAAATGTTGCATTTATTTTTATGTGGGTGCTTTGCATGATTAGATGAACCCAGTGGACTTCACCCATAACTCAAAGTGGAGTTCTATGTGTGTCAACACTTGCTAACTTTAAACTGTTGGCGTAAACCCAAAGTATGGATATGGATACAGTTTGAACTCTAACCCTTATCTGTAGAGCAGAGCAGAGTAAGAAAACCGAGCAGCATGGAAACGTACAACATGTACCCTATAGCTTCCATTCAAATAGCGGGTTGAGAAAGCACATTAACCCTCAAAATAACATCTGAAATTGACATACTTTACTTGAGAGCATTTTCAAGGATGTGCCAGCAGTAACTAATTTCTTACATTCCAGACAACCCATTGTTTAACCGTCAAACCTTGACTTCAACAACCAAGGTTTAACAACTGACTATCAATAAGCTTTTATGTAATTGCTTTAGAGCTGTACCGACTAGTTTGAAGCCTCGAAGCTTAATTCATACTTTCATATTCTGAAAATCACCATTCAAATTTAGATTTTGTTCGAGGTCTGTTTTTTTTTTAGGGTGAAAGAGTAATAAATATGAAACGACAACATACCCTAAAATCTTTATTTAAAAGCTTCAAGCCCTACTTGCTATATTGTCATACATTTGTGTCTACATCGTCCTCTGTAAGAGCTTTTGACACAGTTCTAATGTTGCTTACAGGGGAATGAATGTATAACATTTGCCATATGGTTGGTTTTGAAGCATATCCTTTTTCTTGTATTTGACATACTAACATGCAAAACCATAATTGTGACTTTATAAGCTAAAGATTCCCTCCTTGTTTTTCATTGTGCCAGAGCCTAAGGTGCCATTCAGGAGGAAGCTGCAGGATGTGGAGGTGCAGGAGAAGACGTCAGCCACCCTGCTGTGTGAGGTGCCTGTTAGTGCCACCCAGGCCAGCTGGTTCATGGAGGAGACGAAGCTGGATCAAAGCACCAAATATTACATGGAGCAGGAAGGCACCCTGCTTCGCCTCACCATTCACAACGTCACCACCAACGACGATGGTGTTTACATCTGCGAGATGAAGGAAGGCAGCCGCACTGTGGCTGAGCTCACTGTCCTGGGTATGGTGGAGACTTTTTAATGTCTTTATTTCTTGTTAGCTGTTTTGTGCAGGCAATACAATTGACAAGAGTAAATTATATGTCCGTTGGGAAACTAAGAACAGCTAGTCAATTTGTCTAGAATTCTACTGAATGTTTGTCTTAATGTCCACTTACTCTCATATCCCAGGCAACATTACTAAGAAGCTTCCCCGGAGGACAGTGGTCCCTGTCAGCGACACTGTCATCTTCTGTGTGGAGCTGGAGCGTCCTTTCCCGGATGTCTACTGGACCCGCAATGGCGTGAAGCTGAAGGGAGATTCCCGTACCGCAATCGCCTGCATGCTCAGACAGTACACACTCACTATTAGAGATTGCCAGGCTGATGACTCAGGAGAAGTGGCCTTCGTGGCGGGAGACTGCAAAACTTCCACACGATTCTCTGTCACTGGTGAGCAAGACCATATTTTAATTATGTATTGTATTTATTCTGATCTTGGATTTGCCCCCTTTAAATTGAGTTCAAATTGACTTTAGTTCATGTCATGTCTTTGATGCCCACTACAAAAGACTTCAAACGTTAAATTATTGAAACTGACATGAATAATTGCTGAATATAAAAGTTCAACAAGAGGGTCAAAAAGAAAGGAAATTGAGTTTTGCTATAATCTTTCTTTTGATTAGCTTCAAGCTACAAAACTCATCGTATCACATAAACAGCTTGACAATTTCTCTTTCTGCTCCAGCTGCTAGGAAGCATCCTCCCGATCCCCCAGTCGATGCAGTGGTTGCGAACAAGACTGACTCATCCATCACCATCCAGTGGTCTCCTCCGGACAGCGACCGCCCCGTGCCCATCAAGTGCTACTTTGTGGAGAGGAGGAAGGTTGGCACTCAGACATGGCAGCGGTGTAACTCTGGAGAAACCATCCTTTCTACCGAGATCATCGTCTGCAGCTTCAAAGAAGAAGCCACCTACCAGTTCCGTATCTCTGCCATGAATGACTTTGGCCAGAGTGATTACCTGGAGGTGCCTGGAAGCTTCTACCTAGGTAAGTTTTTATTAATTGTGCTGTTTTTGTAAACAATGAGTTGTTTTGTTCTCATGTCTGGTTCTTCTGTTGTCTCCAGAACCCAGTGCTGAAATCAGGAAAGGCCTGATGGACAGCACTGCCTTCCTCAGTGAGGAGTTCTCCATCTCCGTGGAGCTGTCAGCTGTTTGTTCTGCCTTCTGGTCTCTGAATGGCCGCCTCCTGCGCAGTGGAGGCGACTACCTCATCACCAGGATCAAGAACACACACACTCTGCTCATCCGTAACGTGACCATGGAAATGAACGGGACTGAGGTCAAGTTTGTGGGTGGAGGCTCACAAAGCAGTTGCATCCTGTCTGTGAAGGGTATGTAGTCAGAAAAGTGCTCTAAATCATATAGATACATATAGTATAGAGCCATTTTTCTTCATTCAACTGTTCTTAACTTTGTTGAATTGAATGCCATTGGCAATTCAATAATGCCTTCTTACATATACACTGTATTTTTTAGCTCCTGCTGTGAGGTTCACCAACAAGTCAAACCTACAGGAGGCGGTCTGCAGTGCCCAGGCCACCGCTCAGCTGACCGTTGAGGTGTCAGATTACAATGCACAGGTTTGTGATGGGAACATGAATCATTCCCAGCTTGACTTCTAGCTTTGATTTTCATGCACTATCATTTACCACATTTAGTAGATTTCTCTGTGCTATTTTAAGTTAGTCAAATCAGTTTGACTGAAGAAACATTGTATTAAACTGTCTGAAAATGCTAAAATGTTCTTTTCATTTTGGTTAGCTCTTTTCCCCGAGCTTCTAATTGACATGACATAGTCAATACAGTATGTTACGTTTTCTGTTTTATGTAACTGTTATCCTTCATACACATATATGTATTTGTAAATGTACCTGTATTTGAGTACTCGTCAGTATACTCTTTTGCTTTCACTTCATCATGTCTATTTTGGCCATCTGTTCTGTGTGTGTGTCTTCAGGTGGTCTGGATGAGGAATGGGCGGGAGGTGAAAACGGGGAAGAAGTATGAATACATGATTATCGACCGCAAGAGGATCCTTATGGTTCACAACGTGACAGAGGAAGATGTGGGCATCTATGAGTGTGCTTTAGCTGATGACAAAATCTCCCTGCAGCTCTCTCTTAAAGGTACGCACACTAAAGAAGTGAAGTTAAGCACTTTAACTTTATCACAGAGCAAAGTAAACAATCTGACTGCCAAGGTTTCAGTGTTGGCGTCTGAACCAAGTATCACCAATATGCACTGCTTGGTGAAAACATGATTGCGTGAATGTAACCTGGCTCAGTGTCTGAAACGAGTCCCGACTCAAGCCCACATGCAGACACTTTGTCTCAGGTCATGTGATATACTGAAATGTGACCCACTCTGATGGCTGCAGCATATGCTTTTGAGCCATCAAATAGAGGAAAGAGTTGTGTATCAACATGTAGTCGGCTCCCGTGTTACTCTGCTACCCCAAGTCAAGTTCTTTCCACGCATGAGCTGCTCTGATAACAAACGTAAGGATATACATTTCTAAAGGGATTTGAAAAGAGATGCACAATAAATCTCCTTATATTTTTTGACAGTCAGTTTACACGTGTAGGGTTCTGGTTTATGTCGACTCACAGTGGTAAAAACACTGACGTCACACACACACGCACGCACACACACACACACACACACACACACACACACACACACACACACACACACACACACACACACGCACACGCACACGCACACACACACACAGTTTGGAAGTTTTTTGCGAACACAGGACTTAAAACTTGCCATTTGTAGCATCTGCAAGTACATTATCCATGATATTTGGAACCTCCAACTTAATCAGACATTTAATTTATTATTTAGTAATTCATTCCCATGCATGCTGCTCAAGAGTATCTGCAGTGTCCAGCTCTTCTGTCAACAGCACAGCGTCTTCCCATGTCCTCTCAGGCTGGAGGACACATACCTCTACATTCTTGTAAATAGATACTCATTCAAAAAAGCTCTGCACGCAGGCTTCCTCCAAGTTTACAGTAAAACAAACTGGTGGTGTGACCAATGGCCATTTACAATTATTAATATTATTACTATTATTAGCATTATTCTATATTTTGGTTGAAACTAAGCCAGAACAAAAAAAACCAAACATAAATAATAATTAAAATATATATAAATAAAATCGATTTTATTATTTATGTTTGGTTTTTTTTGTTCTGGCTTAGTTTCAACCAAAATATAGAATAATGCTAATAATAGTNTCAGCTACCTCACAGCTCAGAGTGGCTCTCTGGGAGAGAGTGGCTTTCACTTCGCTCTGGACGGACTCCTTGTTGGAAAATGCTAACTTCTGTTGGATTTCTGCAAAAGTGATAATGGAAAACGTCATGGCATTGTACATTTTCACGCCGAGGGACTAATAAAGGATTTCTGATTGCCCACCATCATATTAATGCAATCTTATAAAATATAGCAAAACTTGATATAAATGTGATCTTAATTTAAAGAAATCACATGAAGTAGTCCCTTTAATTCCTCCTACCTGTCAATTGCACTCTAAATGCCAGTTTTTCAGTTCCGACTTCACAGATGTACTCTCCCGCATCTTTTTTCTCCATCTTCTCTATCACCAGCTCACGAATCTTGCCCTTTGACTCCATGTGGACGGTTTTGCTGGAAGTCAACAGCTTGCCATCCTTGTACCACTTCACCTCTGTCTTGGTATCAGCTACCTCACAGCTCAGAGTGGCTTTCTGGGAGAGAGTGGCTTTCACTTCCCTCTGGACAGACTCTTTGTTGACGAAAGAGGATTTAGCTTGGACTTCTGTAGAAGAACCTGAAAAGGAGTGTGGTGTCAGTACATGTACACGTACAAAAAAGGAGTTATCTCACATCCTTTTGGATTAACTGCAGAATGACAACATAACCATACATATACATTGTACTGAACAATGAGCTTTATTAAAGCATGTCAGGTTGAGTGAGACTCAACATTGCATTTGCAGTCTTAAAGAAAAAGCTAATTGGTCCTCTACAAAGTTGCTGAAAAGAGGAGCGGACTGATATTGTTAACCAGACCAGGTCTGCGAGCAGGAAGTGACAATCAACGGAGCCATAAGACAACAGAGCTCCCTCAGTAAGCAAATGCTAGGAGAAATCAAAGCCTGAGGCTAAATATGAATTAAAATATACACATATATCTTTCAAGGGCCATCTAATAACAGACTCAGGGGCCATTTTGCAATATAGATGTTTGAGCACAGCATGCCAAACATCTCAAAACTAAAGAACCAATAATGCAGACTAAATAAGTTCCAACAATCACAAAACTGAATTCACTCTCCTTACCTTCCACATGCATTTTAAAGACCAGCTTCTCAGACCCAGCTTGACACATGTACTCTCCAGCATCCTTCTTCTCCACGTTGTCGATCACCAGCTGGCGACTCTTGCCTTTTGACTCTGCATGGATCGCCTGAGTGGTGCTTATGAGTTTGCCATCCTTGTACCACTTCACCTCGGACTTGGAATCAGATATCTCCCAGCTCAGGGTGGCCGCCTGGGAGAGACAAGCTTTCACCTCCTTCTGCACTGACTCTTTGTCAGAAAGGGCAGACTGGACCTGTGTGTCTGTGGAGGAGAACATGGATCATTACATCTTTTAGTTATCCATGATAAGAACATTCATCAACACATTTCTTTTGTTGACAATTCAGTCCTGGGCCCTACCTGCCACATTGAGTTTGAAGACCAGCTTCTCAGTCCCAGCCTCACAGATGTACTCTCCAGCATCCTTCTTCTCCACGCTGTCTATCACCAGCTGGCGACTCTTACCCTTTGTCTCTGTGTGGATTGTCTTGCTGGAAGTCAGCAGCTTGCCCTCCTTGTACCACTTCACCTCTGTCTTGGTATCAGCTACCTCACAGCTCAGGGTGGATTTCTGAGATAGAGTGGCCTTTACCTCCTGCAGGTAGGAGTCTGTCCAGAGGGAGGTAAAGGCCACTCTATCTCAGAAATCCACCCTGAGCTGTGAGGTAGCTGATACCAAGACAGAGGTGAAGTGGTACAAGGAGGGCAAGCTGCTGACTNTCCAGGTTTGGAGAGCTCACAACGCAGAGTAACACTAGCCCCCTCCTCAGCCTCCTGGCTCTCCAGCTTCTGTTTGAAGGTCGGCGGCAGTGCTGTACAACCAATTTTTTATAACTTCAGGTGAAATAGTCTAAGAATATTTAAACAAAAACACGAGCAAGGCCAAAGTGGATCTGCTTTGGTAAATATTTCATTTTTCTAAAGCTCCATACCAGTGACTTTCACAGTTGCAGATGTCTTCTGGTCCCCGCACAAGCAAGAGTACTCTCCACTATCTTCAACCTCCAAATTCTTAATCTGAAGTTCACAAGAAGTCTCCTCCATCTTCATCTCATACTTCTCTCCTGCTTTGAGAATTTCAGAGCCTTTCTTCCACTGAACGCCATCAGCATGCTTCGATAGTTTGCAGCAGAGATTCACCGACTCCCCTTCCTTTCTCCTCTGGTTGTTGAGCTTCTCTTTAAAATTGGCAGGCAGGGCTAGAATAAAATGAACAATGACTTGCTTGTATAAAACAGGAGGGTGAATTGTGTTGGGTTGAGTGATTGATGATGGAAAATGATTAGAGGTGAAAATGATGTTGTCCCACTGGAATCATTCCACCGGTACGGATGATGCTCCTTTTACAAAAACAATCTCTCATTGCATTTTTAAATGCACAAAAAATGACAAACACAGGAAACATTCCTCTATGCAGTTTGTAGCCCTTGCATAACAAGACAATGCATTTGGTTTCAAGTCAATTTTAAACATTTGCACATACTGGTGGATGTCGTTCACAATTTGTGGATGTACAAACAGTCTGTCAATCATATAAACACCAAGACAAAGAAAACAACATAATGCTAACATGAAAGCAAAGCATCTTTTAATCAATTCAATCACAATGCAAGATACCGATCAGTAGAACTGACAAAGCAAACAAATGTAGAAGATTTCCCTTCAAACCTATGTTCACCCTTCCTTGGTTTTTTCAATATAACCAATTGGCCTTTTAAACATCAGAGCAAGGCCATACTGTGAGCAACGTCAACATTGCATTTATCTCTTTGACCAAAAAAAACAGTCACAGTAAAATTCTCAAGGCAAATAACACATCATTCATACAACTTACCTGAAACATGTGTACATACAAACATCGGTACTTACCATTGACTGTCACCTTTGCCATGATCTTCGCCGTGCCCACGTCACACGTGTAGATATCGGTGTCTTTCTCCTCCAGCTGTTTGATGGTCAGAGTTAGGACCCCCTCCTTCTGGGACATCTCATATCGACCTCCAGCCTTGAGCTCTGTGTGACCTTTAAGCCATACCACAGTGGATGGGGTTTGTGCAGTCTCACAATGCAAGGTCACGTTGCTCTTCTCCTCAGCTTGGCTGTCCTTCAGCTCTTTAGTGAATTTATGGATTCGCTCTGTAAAAAAAAAAAAGAGCTTAATAAAGTATTTTGAATGTTAGGCACAGTAAAAATGTGAAGGATTAATCTGTTGTTTCAGAAAAAAAGATGATCTCAGATCTACACTTGTATTAAGACAAGGGTATGCTTGTTATCTTTCTTATGGTTTTCCATTTTATAATTAAAGTAAACAAATGATAGGTAAGTTTAACAATTTAGGTCCATAACTTTATTCATTGTTTGTACCTGTGTAATGTTACTTTAAGAGAGTACTGTACTGCAGTTAAGGTGTTAACTTTGATATTGAGTGGAAGCTAGAATGTTGAGTCACACAGTTTTCCTACGATGTCCTGCCATTAGTTGTTTTTATCATCCAGCAAAGTAAACTCTGTATTTGACATGCATGTGGCGCATATACAATGAAACTTGTTCCATTGCCGCAATTACAGTTATCCTATATTTTGTAATTGAAATGCATTAGCCTCCGTGTGTCTTAGTGTTGTCTCTTAAATGCTCTAACATTGTCAAAGATTACAAGTCTTACCCTTGATTTCCAGCTTTTCTTTAGTGGTTGCACCTCCAACAACTTCACAACTGTACTCTCCGGAGTCTTGAGCTGAGACGTTATGGATCGTCAGCTTCATGACCTTTTCTTCTTGGCTGATGTCATACTTCTGGCTCTTTTTGATGGCTTTGCCTTCCATGGACCAGTTTACAGTGAAACTAGCTTTTGTTACCTCACAGGTAAATACAGCATCTTCTCCTTGGGCAGCACTAACACTCTGTAGTCCTTTAGACACGGATGAAGCCTTGCCTGCAAAATGGGATGTTTAATTTCCTTACTTAATACCTTTGTTCATTTGTCTAGGCCTCTTAAATATGTCGCTTACCTTCAACTTTTAATGTCGTTTTGGAGTTAAGGTCTTTAATGTTCAAGACCACCTCTCCAGCGTCAGCAGGAGTCACATCCTTGATAGTCAGCATGTATTTGCGTCCTTTACTGGTGACTTTGAAGCGGCCTCCATCTGTGATAGTGTTTCCATTAAGAGTCCAGGAACACTCGTCTGTGCTCTCACGAGATAAGATGCACTCAAAGTTACATGAGTCTCCCTCATTCACCTCAGCCGACTTCAGCCATTTGGTAATTCCAATGGCAATCTCTACATTTGGGGAAAAGAGCATTGGCTAGTGAAGAAAACAAACTACCGGTACACTATACGAATGAAACTGTAAAACATCTCAATAACAGTACCAACCTCTTACAGTGACCTTTGCTTTAGAAACCTCAGTTCCTAGATCACAACTGTAATCTCCAGCATCTTCTTTGGTGACGTCCTTGATGATCAGCCCCAAAGACTTGCCTGTGTGAAGGAGCTCATACTTTGATCCAGCCTTTAGGACTTTAACTTCTTTTCTCCATACAGGAGAAACCCTGGGCTTGGACGCCTCACACGCCAGAGTTATCATGCCCCTTTCCTCTCCAACGACATCATCCAGAGACTTGAGGAACACTGCTCGCTTCTCTGGAGGGACAATTGAGAATATAAATAATGAGTGACATGTACAATGTTCTGACAGCATAATCAGAATTGATTCTCAAAGCAGATAACTACACAATCTTAAGGTATGGTTTGATTTTGATTCTCCTCTTTAACCGGATATTTGTACAGCAGTTCATTGCCAGTGAGTTCTTACCTTTAACCTTAAGTGTCACTGACTCCTTCACCTTGCGGACCTGAAAGGTGATAGTCCCCCCGTCCTGAGGTGCCAAGTTCTTCAGTGTGAGCTTGTGGACCTTGCCATCATGTGCGATGGTGTTGACTTCATTGGTGAAGAGCACCTTGTCATTCAGAAGCCACTGTACCTCTTCATCAGCATAGTTGATCTCACATGTGAACACAGCATCGTTGTCTTCATCAACCTCTGTGTCTGCCAAGTGCTTGCTGATCTTCATTTCACGCACTGGACGGAGGAAAAGTAACAGTTTAAGTTGAGGACAATTAGAAAACAGTTTCATTGAAAGATTTAGGTCAAAGGTCAATACTACAATACCTTCAACAGTAAGGGTCCCTTTGGCCTCAGCAGGTCCGGACTGACAGCGGTACTCTCCACTGTCTTCCTCAGTCAACCTTTGAATAGTAAGTTGAGCCCTTGTAGCATCTTGCTTCATGTTGTACTTGTCTGAAGCGGTCAGAGGCACCTGGCCTTTAAACCAAGCAACCTCTTTGGGTGAGGCAGAGAATTTACAGGTGAGTATCGCTGAGCTTTTCTCTTTCCCCTTGACATCTTTGATGGGCTCTGCAATCTCAAGCGGACGCTCTAAATGTGAGGAACAATATGTGATTAGACTCAATTCAATTACACTGGATATGTTTACTAAAACAGAGTACACAAGTTATTGTGGCCTACTGCTGTATAAAAGTCATTCTACACATTTACCTTTGACTGTGAGCTGGGCTAAAGATTTGCTCTTGCCAGCTGTAAACTGCACAGGTCCTGTCATCGATGCTTTGGTCTTTTTGAAGGTGAGACTGTGCATTGTGCCCTCTTTCTCCATTTCTACATCGGCGCTCTCCTTCACAGCAACTGCATTCAGAGTCCATATGGGAGGTTTCACCAGTTCCATACTGATTTCAACTTCAAAAACAGCTGCAAAGGGTTCTGTCACTTCTACTGATGTCAGCTCCCGCACAATGCTGATGGACTGCTCTGTAGGGTCGTCAGGAAAAGAGAATGGTTCAGAAGTCCTTACATAAAGGTAATGATGATTTAATTCAGACAGGACAACACACATATGGATAAGTCTTTTTGAGACCCAAATGTAATAGCATACCCTGGCCTATATATTATTGGTATATACAAGTGGTCAGAAATAAATTAATAGTATACAATAATGTGTGTGTACTACTACTGCTACTTGCAGGAAATAAACCTTTCTTGGGATAAGTTCATCAAAAAATTAGCACATTTGTCATTAGGTAGTACAAATTTCACCCTTTAATTTTGAAAAGCACTACCCACGTTACATTATTTCCGAGGCCATGCATGTTTTCAAATGAGCAAAACTTAAATCCACGTCACCTCATGTACATTTATACATAAATAAAATAGAGACGGACGGACGGACGGACAGACAGACGTCCCAACACAGACAGACAGACCTATAGATGGACACCTCATTGATTAGGACTCTGATGGCTTATATACTGTACATCCTTTGAGTATGTTCATGTGTATACCCAGTATACAGAAATATAGAATCTTATATATATATAATTGCCCTACACTTGATGAACCTGACAGCTGTCAATCAACCTTGTTACCTTCCACAAGTACTTTACAGGATGTCTTTTCATCAGTGGCGTCACAGGTGTAGGTGTCTTCGTCCCCGGATGCCACATCGTTGATGGTGAGTTTTCGGTACACATCTTCACTTTTGATCTCGTACTTCTTGCCGTGTTTGATCTCCGTCTTGTTCTTGAACCACTTCACCTTTGCGCTGGCACGTGACACTTGGCATTCAAGATGTCCACGATGCTTATACATCGCTATCTTATCCCTGAGTTTTTTCACAAACTTGACAGGCAGCTCTATAGTAACAATAACACTGAATCAATTCAAACTATCATTATCATGAATGCTACAAGGGAAGATGAAAGGCTATTGATTCCAAAGCTTTGCCAAAGCCCTTGCTTAGGTGCACGTAAGGACAGCCACTGTTCATAATTGAATTGTGTTATAGCCAAAGCAAATGGGGCTAAGTAATGGAGCATTAATGCTTTTGATGCCCCATTAGTTTTTTTGCAAAAGCTAAAGCAGATAGCGATAATATTGTAATGGCACTACTGCAAGTGGGAATTAACGTGTGACAGCCATTCTTGTTTATATATCAGTTGCTTATTGATTGGAAACAGAGAGACACTGACATATAAACTAAGAAACATGTGCATGTTGAGCACCTGAGAGCAAATAATGGTCTTAATCTTATCATTCTTAGATTTTGCCTCACATTTCCAAAACCTAAAATCAACCAAGACAGAAAGCCATGACTAAACCTATTGAAAATAATCCTATCCTAGATTTGTGTTTCCTTTTGCCATCAGGCCTCAATGAGGCATAACAATGCAAATGCAACTTAAAACTGGATTTTCTATCTCATCAATATTGTCAGATTGATGCATTCTGTTGACACTTATCATAAGACAACATTTCATCTGTCTTTAGTGCGACAATTTTCATTGGCACACTAAACCAGTTGAAATGTTGAGGTGAATTTAGCAAAGAATGTATGCAGACTTTTGATTATCCTAATTATTTGTTATCTGCAAATGTGCCGATGTATTACAATTTTGCAACAATTTGTGTCATAAATAGACAAATCCATGTTCAACCTCATCTGAACATTGCAACATAAGGGTTAGCAAATTCATGCAGCGACATATTTGTTTTCAGCCCATGACACTGACTGGTTTACCTTTCACTTTCAGTTTTGCTGCTGAAGAGGCCTTGTCAGCTGTGAATTTAATCTCACCCATATCTTCAATGGTGACAGACTTAAACAGAAGTACATAGGTTTTGCCTGGAATAAGAAATAAGACAACGTGTAGATAATCATTATTCATGAAAATACAGGTGTATACATAGCTGAACAACTTTTTGGAGACTTTACCCTCTTGTCTCATCCTGATGTTGTCACCGACTTTGAGTTTGGTACTTCCTTTGTACCATTGGCATTCGACTTCATCATGTGATACTTCACAGACAAACGCAGCGCTCTCCTTCTCCATCACTTCCACATCCTCCAGCTTCTTAACAATCTTAACTTCTCGGGCTGCAGGGAAAACATTATTAAGAGGTTTCTATACCCAATAAGGCAACATGACTTATTTGTGTGCTTCAATACATGACTGATAATTACCATTAACAGTGAGTTTAGCTGAGGTGTTATCATCAGTAGTGCGACAGATATAAGTGCCTGCATCTTCAGGGGTGCACTTGTTGATGACCAAACTGCGCTTTCGGCCCAAGGAATGGATGCCAAAGTTCTTCCCTGGTTTCAGTTCAACATCATCCTGCAGATTAATGATTTTTCAAAATGTTACATTCTGTATGGACATGACACTTTTAAAATCTCATTATTTCCCAAAGCAGACAGTGAATTAAATAATAACTTCTCACCTTGAACCATTTAACATCTGCATTGGTTTTGGACACTTCGCATTCAAAAGTAACCTTTTCCTTATCAGCGACACTGATATCTACCATGGGCTTGGCGATCATAGCAGGAAGTTCTGTCAAATCAAAAGATTGTATTAAAAACGTTGTGACACAATGACCCTTGTGGCAGTATGGGTGATATACAAAAATAACTTACCTGTGACAACCAGTTTGCCAGAGTTATGAACTCCTTCTGCTTGGAAGGCAATCGTTCCTGCGTCCTCCCTCTTGAGATTGGACAACGTTAAGGAATGCTTCTTTCCAAAAGCTGTGATACGGCAGTTGGCCCCTGACTTTAACTTGGCCCCATCCCTGGTCCAGAAGCCCTCAATATCAGCCTGGCTGAGCTCTACCTCCAGAGTTACCGTCTCTGTCTCATGTGACTTGGTTTCTGTTAGGCCCTTGATTACCTGGATCTTTTTCACTGAAGGGAGGATGAGAAAAGGTTTGAGACTTAACATGCTCAAGGGTTCTTAGCTTTTATATAAAGAATGATATCACTAAATACTGGGAAATGACATTGTCTTTCTATATGCATTTAAATACTGTATGTTGTGTATCAGTCTTACTCTCCACACTAAGCTTGGCCTGGGTTTTGTCATCCAGGGTTTCACAGGAGTAGATGCCCCGGTCAGCATAAGCCACGCTCTTGAAGATCAGTGCCTGCTTGGCTCCGTTGACCCGAATCTCCATGTTTCCTGAAGGCTGCAGCACAACGCTGTTCTTCATCCACCTCACTTCATCCGACACCTTACTCAGCTCCAACTCCAGCTTCACTTCACTCTGCTCCTCCACTGTCAGGTTTTCTAGCGTTTTCTTAAATGTCACAGGTTCATCTAAATGGGGCACACAGAATTGTCAAAGTTGATGAGGAAAAAATATTACTTAAAGGTCCCCTATACTGTTTTTCATCAATATATCATAGTTCTAAGTTATATATAAAACATGTCTCTGAAGTGTTTGGCTCGAAATACAAAACAGATCATGCATTGTAGCATCCCATAATCCCCTCTGTTTCAGTCCTGTTTCAAAAGGGCTGATTTTGGGTCTGTTACTTTAGATGAAAATAAGGAGCCCCTCCCCACGCCCCTCTGAGAGATAATTGGTTAAAAAGAACACAATGGTGCTCTAGGAGGAGATTCAGGTGATAAGGTGGGCGGGGGTTACCTTGGTTGGTGATTGGCTAATGGTTACACAAGCCAAAAAAACGTTATGACATCATAAAGTGGTCAGAATCTGATCAGCTCATTTTCAAACAGGTTTCTATATAAATGGATCAGGACAGAAAGTGAGCAAATATTTTTTCCTGAAACTTTCAGAATCTCTTTACACAGAGGGGACACATGTTTATGTATAAAATAAATGTAAAAGTGGATTTTGGATAATAGGTGACCTTTAACATACTAAATAATTATATTGAGTGTTCTTACGCTCCACTTGTAGGTTGGCTTTGCAGCTTTTGCCCTCTGCATCCACGCTGATCTCTCCGCCATCTTTTTGTGTGACAGAGGTGATGGTGAGTGAGTGACTGCTGCCCCCATGCGCAATCTTATATTTGGGCCCAGCAGTGACGGGTATGCTGTTATGGAACCATTTAACGTTGACGTCTGCTGGGTTGACAGCACACTTGAAAATTGCATCTTTTCCCTCCATGGCAGCCACATTGTTCAGTTTAGTAGTCAGCCTCACCACTCTGGGTGCTGAAAGGAAAGCATGACATCAAATGAAATAAACTGATACAGAATAAAATACATGAACGTGTTGAAGGTAAACAATTAATTACCTTTTGAGGTAACTTTGGCGGAGGTCTTGTCATTTCTACATTCACAGCTGTATTCTCCTTCATCTTCTTTAGTCATGCCAGTCACGGTGAGGACCCGCTTAGCACCATCTGTCCTGACACAGTACCTGCCTCCAGGTTTAATCTCACGACCATCATGCTGCCAGACAACATCCCCTGAGGCTTGATTTAGCTCACACATCAGGCTGAGTGTGCCTTCCAAATCCACTGTAGCAGGTTTCAAAGGGACAACAAACTTCAAAGCCGAATCTGAAATGAAAACATGGAAGTTAGACATCAACATTAAATCTGCCACCTGGAGATGTCTATATAGTTGTTCACATTTCCATGACTTGCCTTTAACTTGAACTTTGAACTCCAGTTGGTCATCAGCAGTTTGACAGGAGTATGTTCCACTGTCTTTGGATTCAGACGATTTCACTATCAGTGTACGAGAAAGGCCTTCTTTTTTCATTTCATACTTGCTGCCCTCCTTGAGCTCCACGCCATCTCTGCACCACTTCACACTACCACTCTCTGTCGTCAGCTCGGTGGTCAAAACAACTTTTTCACTTGCTTGAACAATACATGTGTCCTTGACAAGCTTTTTCTGGAACTTGACAGCTGCATCTAGAGAGATGTAAGAGCTTGTTTTCATTTGTTTGTTCTGAGAATCATGTATCAAAATAAAGCCAGTATTTGAAATATATTGTACCTGTAACCTGCATGTTAAATACAAGCTTCTCCATTCCAGCCTCACATGTGTACTCTCCCGCATCTTTTTTCTCCATCTTCTCTATCACCAGCTCACGAATCTTGCCCTTTGACTCCATGTGGACGGCTTTGCTGGTAGTCAGCAGCTTGCCATCCTTGTGCCATTTCACCTCTGTCTTGGTATCAGCTACCTCACAGCTCAGAGTGGCTTTCTGGGAGAGAGTGGCTTTCACCTCTTGCTTAACAGACTGTTTGTTAGAGAAACCAGCCGGGGCTTCTGCAGAGCAAAGTAAAAACAAAACAGATGCATATAAGTTAACTCAAGATACACACAGCAAAACATTTCCGATGCAATGAAAATACATCATGATTAAATGCAGATAGACCAACAAGACCATTAAATGATTCCTCCTACCTGCAACCTGTATCTTAAAAGCAATCTTCTCAGTCCCAGCCTCACAGATGTACTCTCCAGCATCCTTCCTCTCCACGCTGTCGATCACCAGCTGGCGACTCTTACCCTTTGTCTCTGT